ACTGCATCCATGAAACCAAAATATGCCACCCACGGACATTCTCCTTTTGATCCCAAACATTTAACCCTTATTCTTTCTTTTTATCATTCTTAACAAGTTTCATATTTTTAACATTCTCTACTGCATAACTTTTTATGGCATCCAAGATGTCTTCTTTATGCACAAAATATGTTCCCACTTCCCACTTGAAATCAACCATATTTCTTGGTATACTAAATGTAGAAAGTTTTCCATAACCCTCTCCTTCTTCACTTTCTTCATCACTTATGTCAGGAGAAGTTAAGTCCTCAGATTGTCATTCATCATTGAACAAACTAGAATCATTAATCTCATCTTCTTCCATATCTGACTCAGACCCAAGTAAAACACATTCAACCTCCATATTACCAGAACTTTCACTGAAGCCACAATGCACATTTATGTTTACTAACACATCCTTACTATTCACCTCACCATCATCACCATCATGTGATGTACTCCAATCATAGGCTTGTTCTTCTATATCCTCCAAGTCTTCTACTTCTATTGTGTAAGCCTCACCATCCTATGGTTATGTCCTCTCAACCTCAACATGACCTTCATCAACTTCTATCCTTAAACGCTCAACTTCATCTACTTTTGTCCTCTCAGCCTCACAATGAGCTTCCTCAACTTCTATCCTCCCACCCTCAACTTCATCTACTTTTGTCTTATCACCATCACCTTGGTCAACTTTTATTCTCTCTACCTCAACTTCATTTGCTTCTGTCTTATCACCATCCTGTGCTTCTGTCCTCTCAACATCAACATGACCTTCATCAACTTCTATCCTTAAACCCTTAACTTCATATACTTATGTCCTCTCAGCCTCACAATGAGCTTCCTCAACTTCTATCCTTTCACCCTCAACTTCATCTGCTTTTGTCTTATCACCATCACCTTCGTCAACTTCTATTCTCTCCACCTGAACTTCATCTGCTTCTCTCCTCTCAACATCACGTTCATCAACTACTTTTCTGTGACCCTCAACACCATCTGGTTTTATTATCTCAGCCTGACCAACAACAACTTTTATCCTCTGACCATCAGCACCTACCCCCTCATCCAACTTTTGTCTGATACCATCATCTGTAGCCTCACCAAACTGTGCACCCTCACCACCCTCATTCACCTCAGGTGCAACTTCGTCACCTCTTTCATCAACATTGTATTCAATCATGTGAATGACATCAGGTTGAGACACAATGTGCACAACATATAAATGAACTTGTCCATTTAACTGAGCTAAAGTGACCATATGCATGACACTTAAGTCATCACACATGGCTTCTAGCCTATCATCTAATACAATACCACATCCAACAGAAAACCACAACTACAACAAAGAAGGGATTTACCCATGGTCAATATCACTCGGTAATGACAAAAAGTCGACGGTAAAGTGTGTTTACCGACGGCCTGGCGAGGGCCAAAAAGCTGTCAATAATATGCGTGTTTGAAACATTATCGACGACGTTTTGGCCTTCGGTATTACCGACGGGCAAAAGCCCTCGGTAATGCAGAAGACCAAAAGGCTGTCGGTATTATCGAAGGGCAACGACCCTCGGTAATTGAAGGTGAAACTCAATCCTTTTAGCGACAACTTTAGGCCGCCGGTAATACCAAGGGGCAAAAGCCCTCGATAATGCAGAGGGAAACTGGATAGGTTTTACCGACGGGTTTAGGCCGTTGCTAACGTGCATTGTTTTTTCAGTGCAATTTGTTTCTACATTATACCCAAAACCTACAAATAACCAATCAATAATCCCAAATGTCAATTCATCCAAGCAATTCAAATGCAATCATTCAACATTCATATTCATCAAGAATACTTTAATCATTCTAAGTTTCAAAAGTTCCTAAATACAATTATCGAATTGTGCTTGCAACTAATGGTTATGCATGTTTTAGAAATGCAGTTATGGAGCGGTGGAAGTTAACAAACCTGCTAAAGAGCTCGACAACAACCTCTGTAATGGTAGCCCCAGCCCCAATAGACTAGTACACCTCGACCACTCAACGCAACATCCACAACACGTCACCACCGCAATGCCCTCGTCACGCTATCCACGAAGCATGACCCCTGATGCCACAACCACAATCCAATATAGAATGACTTGCAAGGAATTGGAAGCAGGAAAACAAAAAGCAATCAATTAAGGACCAAGCGCCAAAGCTAAAATTCATATGAAAAGAACACACTAACCTTTACTGCAATCCCTCAACGCAACAAAGCAGCGGCAACACCCTCCCTACTCCACGACAGCCGCAGTAAATGCCCCAATCACCATCCACCAACACCCTTCTAGGAGAATCACTCAACAAAAGCTCCAAGCATACCGAAAATCGTCCAATGCGCCGCCTCAGTCACCAACCCGTCCTCACACCATCAACGACAACCGCTGTATCGCCTCACTACAACGATTGAATGAAGGACGACAATGCGGGAAGAAAGGATGACGCACTTACGCCTGAGAACAACCGCGACAGTGAGATAATGCGCCTGAGGAAACGATTGGCAGGGGAGAGGGAAATAAGGCTTTTGACCGACGAGCTCGAAATGAGAGGGAAATAAGAAATTTTGGTTTTAATCTATCCTAATATGTTCCGTCGGTAATTAAAATCACCACTGAATTACCCACGACCTAAGGGCTATCGGTAATAGGTCGCCGGTAATTTCTGCTTTTTTGTAGTTAAGTCCTTAAATCCATCGTACCCAAGACTTTTGACTACACTGACTACAACAAAATAACTCCATAAGTCAGGATAAAAAAACATTGTATCACTTTGCCCTTCATACTTCAGGTAACCGTCATTCACAAACTTTCTCCCATGATGAATAACAACCTCGATATCATCGTCCATCACAGACAACACAATCAAGAATATTCTACACCTAGAAATAATCCTAAAACGACAAAAAACACCGCTTATTAAAGTGATAATGATAGAACAAACGAAGTGTAACTATGGGGGACATGGGGACCACAAGCGCAGTATGCAAACACCACATTTTTAGACAACCTCAACTCCACATTCAAAAAAGCATCGCCAGATAACAACAAAAAGTACCGAATATTAAATTCATATCTATCTAAAGTAGAGATACTAACCTTCCACCAAATTCTAGTCGAACCACTTCACGCACACGTTGAACGAATTTGCGATTCACGTTGAAACTCCAATGATGAAGCTCCAAAGCCCTAATTAAGTTTGTATCGTCTCCACTAAGGACTTCGCGTAAGGTTGCAATGCACTCTCCTTTCAGTTTTTTAATCCCAAATTGAATCCCAATTTCAATTTTATTGAACCCTAAATCCCATTTAAGAATTCCATAATATTATATTATCACATTTTACCAATTTCCACGTATAAAGCTCTCAACATGCCACGTTTAAAAAAATTGACACGTCAACCTCCAACCTCAGCTAAAACTTAACCCGTTAAGCCAATTTAATGGCAGGGGCTCAATTGTTTTAAATTAACACTATTTAGGATTCTATTGGAGATTTTTAAAAAACGAGGATCAAAATAAAAAAATCCTACATAAATAAGGACAACTAAAGGGTTTAACCTTTATTTAATAATATACTAGTCATTATATATTATATATTATTTATTTAATTTATTTCTAATAAGTACTTGTTTTCTTCTATATTTCAATTATTTTTGTTCTTTCTATTTAATTTACTTTCATGATATAATGATTTCTTTATTCCTTAATTTATTTATATTTTTTTATTCATTTTTTCTTCAATTATATACTATTATAGTTCTTATGTTTATTTTGTTTATGTTTTTTCTCCAATTGTTTAAAGTCGTTCTTTTATATTTTTTATTTTGCATTATGTTATAAGACATTGTTTATACATTTTTGTGTTGTTTTATGCTTAGTTTTTTTTAATTAATTTTACTCACTATTTTTATTTTGATAAATTAATTTATCATTCAGTCAAACATTTTTAAACCAATATCAGTTAAGGTAACTAATTATTAACTAATTTTGAGGCAGACCCTTAATAATTCCAAATTATAAAGGTTTACAAAGATTAAAATTTTGTTATTTCTTCAATCTCATTAATAAGTAAATAGATACTTATTAAACAATCCATTTGCATTCCTTATTGTGTATATCAACCACATTTGTAGTTTTTGTAACCATTTGTAGTTTTTGTTAACTAATTCTAATCCGTTATTTTGAGTTTAAGTTTAAAATGATAACAAAAAAAAATCGTAAATTTTGTAAACAATATATATTACTCTTTATAAGGAGTAAAAGTAGTTAGATTGGTTTATTTAAAATAATTTTTATAAATATTCAAATATTTATTTAAACAAGATTTTATTCCATATTTAAAAATCTAAATCTTTTTCAAAGTATTATAATTTCCCTTATTCTCTTTCTCTCTGTCTAAAAACGACCGATATAATAAAATTTGATGTAAATTATTTAAATTATTCTGTTCCAAGTTGGTTTTGCTAGGTCATTTATTGTTAAACATTTTAGTTTTAATTATAAAAAAAACATTTATCTTCTGAAGTATGGTTATTTTTCTTCTTTAAGAAAACGTTAAGGATATAAAGATAAAAGCTTGCACGCATTCATTTTACAAAACCATCCTTTACAATTTCATATCACAAAGTTATTATAACATAGGAAAAATTTATTGTCTTCTTCTTAAGGAAAAATTACTTATTTCCCAAAAGAATCTTCGCCATATATTCCTATTGATTACTATTAAATGATGCTGAAGTAAAAGGAAAAACAATTTTCATTAAATAAGACCTAAATCCAACTTCAAACAGTGTTAATTTTTGTGAAAGATAAACTTATTCAAATCAACTAGGATTATAAATTTTGATTTTAAAAAAATTGTTTTGCAAAAAGGGTAAAGACAGAAAATAAACTCAATTTTGTTTTGAAACTGTTGTTTGCCATAGTTTGAGACTTGAGTTATTTTAATAACATTGTTGGGAGCATACCTTAAAATTCTGAAAAAAAGAAAAAAAGAAGTAACATACCTAAGACCTTGAGAGAGAAGAGAGAGGAAGTAGAGTCCCAAACAAGTCTCTTAGCTAAGAGTTTAGGATTGGAATTCTGTCACAGCTTTTTATCATCTCTGCGTCGTCGCTCACCTACAACCTTAAATTTGTAAATTACCTTTTCCCTCTGTTTTTTTTTACCTTATTTTCTTTAAATTCCCATTGGGCACAAATTAAAAAAATTATTTTTTTATCCCACAATTTGTTTTTTTTTTTCTTGGTACAACTGCTTTAGTTTATTCCCTGAGCCTTTGATTGAATGTCCTGAAACCCATTCAAATTGGGTCTCTCAACAAAATTCCATTCTGGGTTTTGTTTCGTGTTGTTGGTTTGGCTTAATACATTTCTCTCCTTCGAATTTCCGAGGCTGATGCATAGTTTGGTATGGATTTTTCAATACATGTGAAGCTCTGGGGAAATTTCAGCATGTGTATTGATATCATTGATTCTTGGCATCGATTTATTGTTAGTGTAATGCTTTTTCTCCTGTATTTAAGATATTATGTGGATTTGGGACTCTAACTTTACCTCAAATTTTCTTCTTTTTGTTATTGTTTTGATTAGGGGATTGAAGAAGTCGTGAATAGATATTTGTGGTGCTTGGTAGAGGTTACCATAGGTTATTATTATTCTTATTGTTGTTTGTTTTCTGTCATGATTCCTTGCTTTTATTCTTTCTGGCTTTCTTTCTTTATTCATAATACATTTCTTCTGTCTCCTGATGGAAATAAAGCTTTGTTTCTATCTTTATAACTATTTGACCCAACCTGTATCGGCTGTTCCTCGATCATCCCTTTGTGAAACTGTAGAATTCTGAAATGCAGATTATCATGTCTTTGATGGCTGGCTATGGAATGTCTTTGCTTAAGATTTTTTTTTTTCTTTTTATGTTCTTTGGTATATCTTTCAACTTTTGTTAGGGCATAGTAATGGGCATGTATTTTGGGAAGTTTCTTTATTTCATTATTTACCTTTCTACTAGCAGATACTGGCACAAACTTGGTTTGCTTCTATGAGCCAATCCTGGTCCTTTCTTCAGCTTCATAATGGTATTGAAAGGTTTATGTGAAAGGATTGTTGCTTCGAAATGCACTTCTAAAAGCTCAACCGAGACTGTAGATTCTACTCAGGTGCCTGCTTATTTAAAAGCAGGGTCTAGTGACAGTAAGTTTCCCAAGGCTTCCTTCTGGTCAAGCATCTTTACATCTGGTTTTTCAGTGGTTGAATCATTTAGTGAATCATCGGCTTCTGAAAAGAAAGCAGTTCATTCTCGAAGTAGTGGGTGGGCAGCTGCTGTGAGGAAAGTTGTAACCAGTGGTTCAATGAGGAGATTTCATGAGCGTGTACTAGGGTCAAGCAGGACTGACATTTCAAGTTCTGATGGTGATATATGGCTTCTAGGTGTCTGTCATCAAATTTCACAGCAGGAATCAAGTGGAGGTGTAGATACCAATAATGGATTGGCATCATTTGAACAAGATTTTTCCTCAAAAATCCTAGTTACCTACCGGAAAGGTATGATGAGTATGTACTACTTTTTTTCTGGAACATATTAAGATAATAGATATTAGACTAACAAATTTTAATATGCGTACTCTATAGGCTTTGATGCTATTGGAGATTCAAAGTATACTAGTGATGTTAATTGGGGCTGTATGCTTCGAAGCAGTCAGATGCTTGTTGCTCAGGTATTACGTCTACCATTCAACGATTGCTTTTGACAATAGAATTGTAATACAGTACCTTATTATAATCTGTCTTCTTTCGTCCTGCTTCTGTTGTTTTTCAAAGTGAAGCAACTAATGTGGTTTTCTTGTGGTGTGCAGGCATTACTTTTTCATAAATTAGGTAGATCGTGGAGAAAATCTGTTGATAAGGTCAGGTGATTGATATGCAATGTGTTGTTTCAGTAATTGGACTGTTTTTTCTCTTCTACCCTTCTTTTGTTTATCTATTTGAATGTCTTGTTTTGCCTTGAGATATATTGTACTTGGGTTGACTCATTGTTGTATTTTTTCTATTCCCTTAATTTGCAGCCAGTGGATAAAGAATATTTAAAAATCTTGCAACTTTTTGGTGATTCAGAGGCTTCTGCCTTTTCTATTCACAATCTTCTTCAAGCTGGTAAAGGTTATGGCCTTGCTGTTGGGTCATGGGTGGGACCATATGCCATGTGTCGCACTTGGGAAGTTCTTGCCCGTATCCAGAGGGAGAAAAATGACCTTGGAGAACCACCACTTCCAATGGCTATTTATGTTGTTTCTGGAGATGAGGATGGGGAACGTGGTGGAGCACCGGTTGTCTGCATTGAAGACGCCTTCAAACACTGTTCTGAGTTTTCAAGGGGCCAAACTGCTTGGACACCTCTTCTTTTGTTGGTTCCTTTGGTTCTTGGACTCGATAAAGTCAATCCAAGGTGTGTTACACTTCAAGGTCATTGTTACTATTTAAGTGTTTAACAACTATTATGGACAAACCTGATCACTCAGGTAGACTCCTGTAATTATTCATCTGTAGCCCTGCAGAAATGATTGTTGGCTTAAACTTAAGCCATTTCTGCAAAGTGATGTAACCCAGATAATTGCTGTCTTTAACTCTCTAAAGATTTAGTATCCAATAAAGATAATAATTAGGTGTAGTAGGTGGTTGTATGCAGTCCCATAATTATGGGTAAATTTACCTATATGATATATGTTTGGCACATGAAGTTTTTAAAACAATGTTTACTGCAGTGCAATCACTGATAGTTGCATGTATAAACTATTGTCAGGTATATTCCGTTATTGCACTCGACTTTTAAATTTCCCCAAAGCCTTGGCATCATGGGTGGCAAACCAGGTGCTTCAACATACATTATTGGTGTTCAGAGTGAAAAGGCATTCTACCTTGATCCACATGATGTTCAGACGGTAAGAAAGTATAAAAATTATGCTTATTGCACCTTATATACTTTTGAGATTGTGAAAATTGTATCATATTTCTCAATATGAATTAACTTATTGAATGTATAATTTACTGGCACGCTATGCTCCATCTTGATTTCAAATCTGTTATCAATTACTGAAAAAAAGCTAGTATTAGATGTTTTTGTGTATTGATATAATAAATGTTTTCTTTTCCACTAAAAAAATATTCTAACTTGTTAATCTTTATATATATATATATATATAT